GCCCTGCCTTCTTCCTGGGTGGCAGAGGCTTTCTGTGTCCTGCAAAACACCTGCATTCCCCATCCTCCTCTGTAGGGAGGTGCAGCCATGTGACTAAGTTCTGGCCAATAAGAAGGAAGAATGTGTGTAACCTCTGGGAAGGCACCTTGGGAAGTCTCAGCTTGAGGCACACTAGCCTTCCCCTTTCTCTCATCTGCTGTCTGGGACTGGATGTGATGGCTGGCACTCCAGCACTCACGTTAGTCCCTGAGATGATTTAAGGAAGAAAGCTATGCCCTAAAATGGTACTCAGGGAAAACAGAAGGAGCCTGAGTTCCTGATGACTGTAGAGCTCTCATTCAAGCCCTGGACTGTCTGCTTCAGACTTCTTTTACATGAGGAAGTAATAAATTAAAATTATCTAATAACCAGTTATTTTGGATTTTCACTTGTATGTCACTGAACATAATTCTAAACAATGCAAGTCCTTTAAGACTGCACAAGTCCAGAGTCTTAGTTGCAAGGGACATGAAAACCAAATTAAATAGGCTTCAGTAAAAGGGAGAATGTATTAGCTCTTGAATAAAAACAATTCCAGGGTTTAGCTTCAGGCATAGCTTGATCAAAGGGCCCCCCAAATAACCCCACAACAATATTCCTGCTTCTCTCCACTCCTCAGCTCTGTCTCTTGTGCTGGCTGCCTTACCCCAGCACAAACTCCTCCCTTCCCCTCACCCACTGCCCTGGGCTTATCTCCCCCAGTTGGCTTCCCCACAGAAAGGCAGCTTTCCTTCTCCAAGGGTTCCCAGCACTGACTCTCACCGACTCACACAGGGACACATGCCTGTCCCTGAACCAATCATTGGGGCTGGGGGAATAGAATATGCTGATAGTTTGAGCTGCCAGTGTCAGAGGGTGGATGTGGCCCCACTGAACCATCTGGCCTGAGGGTGGGGTGGAGGCAGCTCCCCACAGCAAAACCAGGACAGGGGCTACTCACTGGCCAACACAATCTATGCAGGCAAGAAACTGAGGCTCAGAGAGGGTGGCAGTAGGCCAGCTCTCCCCCAGGACACAGTGGTCAGGGCAGACTAGCGGTCGCAGTATGGAGCTGACCTCACCATTGTGTGGCTCCTTCTTGTGGGCTGGGATGGCTGTGGTTCCCACACCTTGCCCCAGCACAGTCCCTTGGTGATTACATCCCCCAGAAGGGGAGTGACAGCCAAATGGCCTCAGAGAAGGCCTATCTCTTCTCGAGGCCTCAGTTTGCTCATCTGGAAAGTGGGATGACAAGGAGGATGCGATCAGTGAGGGATGCGCCACGCACCTGCCATTGCCTCTGCCCAGCTGAAAATCCCCAAGTCAGTGCCATGGGATGGGGTGGGTGTCCCTGGACCCTCTCGGCCCCCCAGCTGGGATCCTCCACAGCTCACATGACAGCCATATTCCCTGGAAGTCCAGGCCAGCTTCGCTCCTCCTAGAGCATCTTCCCCAGGACTGTCCATCCACTAGCTCTGAGGGTAACGACTTAGACACACCTGACACTGAGCAAGTCCTGCCTGTCAGCATCCCAGCCACACTGAGCGGCTTCTCCAGGCCTGGTGACCTCCTGGAAAGGGGAGTGAGCAGAAGCTGCCTCCAGGGCTCAGAGGATGCGGTACCTCATGCCTGGGGCAGTGACCACTCACCGTTATCTTAGCTGAGTGTACAAGTCCCACAAATAGTGGTTTATTTGGTAGGCAACCCCAGGAAGCATGTGGCACAGGGTTGAGGACTTGGATGAAGAAAAGGGTGTGCGGCAGTGCCTGTGGCTCAGTGAGGGTGCCGGCCCCATATACTGAGGGTGGTGGGTTTGAACCCAGCCCCAGCCAAACTGCAAAATAATAGCTAGGCGTTGTGGCAGATGCCTGTAGTCTCAGCTACTCGGGAGGCTGAGGGAAGAGAATCACCTAAGCCTAAGAGCTGGAGACTGCTGTGAGCTGTGATGCCACAGCACTCTACCAAGGGCGAAAAAAAAAAAAAAAGAAGAAGAAAAGCGCGTGTTACGAAGCCAGTCACTGCCATGGAGACTCAGGGGGCCAGCACAGGGACATGCCCTACCTGCTGAGGGTTGGGGCTAGGGCATTTGTCCCTTCTAGCCTGCTCTAGGGGCCATGCTCCCTCTGACAACCTCAAGTCTCAGATGCTGGCAGTTAGCAGCTCTCACAGTGCCAGGAGGACACAGAAGCACCAATGGCTCAGCCAGGGCTGTGGCAGGCATGGCCCCCTCCCCATCCTCCCGCTTCTCCCTTCCCAGCCTCCAGGCCTGGTGCTGGCATCACCTCGATCTCTGTCACTACACCCTCACAACCAGGGCGTCTTCCTGTCCCCCAGGCCCTCACTTAGTGTGAGCCCAGACGACAGTGGAAACTGGTTGTGACACTGAACACGTGCATGTGTGTCTGGATGTGAACGTATTTGTGCATCCTGTATGTGTATATGGATGTGCGTCTGTATATAAGGGCACACGTCACATGTGTGTAGATGTGCACAAGTGTGTCTCTACATACGTGTATGTAAAGTATACATGTGACATGTGCATATGGGTGACCATGTGTCCGAGTACGTTTGTCTGTTTCCATACATGTGCGCACAGGGGTGTTTCTGTGTGATGAGCAGGAGTGTCTGTGCCCAGCACATGTGTCAGGTATGTGTGCGTGTGTCTGCATCCCTGTGTAGGGGCAGGGCGAGTGTGTTAATGTGTACATATGCACAAACACACGTGTGCCTGTGGGTGTGTATGTATGCCTGAGTGGCCCTCTGGGTGGGTATGGGACTAGGGCAGGGGACAGAGGGACTGATGCAGCCTGGCCCCTGCCCACCACCCCTCCCTGTGCCCAGGTCAACTGTGCCAAGAAGCTCTTTGCCCTCTGTCCTGCTGCCAGGGACACAGCGGAGCAGGGCAACGGAGGCCCTGCTGAGCTCAGCCGGCAGGTTAAGGGCCCAGGGTGCTGGTGGTAGGTGTTTGTTGATGAAAAAGCCCTGGAGAGAAATGAGACCACGTGGGAGGTGTTGTTACAGCACCTACCCTGCCATTGTTACATCTGATCCCTGCTGCTCTAACTAGTGGCCATGCTCCAAGTCCCTGCCACTCTCAGCCCACAGCTGCTCCTGGTGCAGTTTGGATGACTTGGAAATGCTCTTGCCCGGGTTCACCATCCAAGGAGCTCAATACTGGGAGCTAGGAGGTTGTTTTCAAGGCCTCACGGCCTGTCCCAGAGGCTGCCACTGGCTGATAGCAACAGGAAATGCGCTGGCCGTGGGTGGCCTCCCCGATAACCCTGGCAGCGCCCACAACTCCCCTCTGCGGCCCCGAGGCCCTTATCTGTGGCAGCAAATGTCTCCTTCTCAGGGCACTCACCTCCCTGACCCTCCCTGGTGCCTGCAACCAAGGCAGGGCCTGGGAAGAAAAACAAACCTGGCAGGATCTTTCCCAACTCCCTCAGACACCTCCCCTATCAAGGAGACCCCATCTTTCTTCAAAGTTAAGGGGCTGACCCTATGGAGGTATCTCTGTACTCTGGGGTCAGACCCTGTTAGAGAATTGGCCCTAGGTCTTCCTGGCTATGTGGCTTTGGGCAAGTCACTTCACCTCTCTGAGCAACTATTTCCTCCTCTGTGGGGTGGAGGCAACTCTTGGCCTTGGGTGAGAAGTGGTGGCAGGCTCTGTCCCACGACCCTCATGCATCCCTCTATCTGTCCAATGTAGGCCTGGCAGTGACTCTGGTCTCTGTCCCGTAAACTCAGTCTCTGCTGGCTCAGATCTGCCCAGTATACTCCAGTCTAAGTGGATAGTCTTAAAGCTCTGCTGATGTGTCCCAGCGCTCATGCTTTGCAGAAATCACTGGAAGCCAGATCAGACTGCTTGTGGTAGGCCTGTTTCCCAGCTCTGTGCTTGGCACAACCCCAGGGAGAGCTCTACAGGCAACAAGGCTGAAGGCTGCTGTCTTCCCAGAATCAGTGTCCCAACTGGGTGAAACAGGGACCAACTCGGATGCAGATAAGGGGAGAAGTTAAAGGTGATCAGCTTAAGCAGCAGGCACCACAAGTGCAAAGGCCCTGTGGCCATGCCCAAGAAAAGTGGGGAGGCTGGGGTGGCTAGAGCCAAGTGGCTGAGTAGGAAAGAGGGGGGCCCAGGGACCCTGTGACAGCTTTGGCTTTACCTTCAAGGATGATGGCGAGCCATGCAGGTGCTGAGCTGGGGAAGGTCACCTCCCTGTGTGAAAAGGTACCTGGCTGCATGTGATGCAGGGGCTGCAGGTGGAAATCAGCAGCAACAGTGAGGTGGCCATGGTGAGGGTCCAGGGGAGAGAGTGCGTGGGCTGGGGCTCTGAGAAGAAGGGTGCAACAGGGGTGGATTCCAAACAGGCTCAAGGGCAGAACCTTTAGGACTTGCCAAGTTGGATGTGGGCTAAGGGAAAGAGAGGAGTTTGGTTTAGCAGCTATATGGGACATGAGAGATTGTGATGGGCACTGATCACCTGCAGGGTCAGGACAAGCCTGGCCCTACCTTGAGAGCAACTGGTCCAGGGAAGGCCAAATCCATGACCTTCACCCCAGGTGCCCACCTGACCTGGCTGCCAACCTTTACTCAGGGCCTTCTGTGGTACCCCTTTCTCTTGGGGAAATGGCCCCTAAATGCATGGGGTCCTGGTGGAACTGCCGACCACTACCCCACAACTGCCCTGCCCCATTCCGGCCACAGCTCCAAGGGTTCTGCTCTAAGAAGTGCCCCAAGTGTGGCAGACTCAGCTGAGGACACACCACAGAGAAGACACCAGTCCTCCCATGTCGGTGGCCAGCCTGAGTCTCAGTGGCCAGCAGCGGTGTAGCACACTGCAGTGGATTGGATGTCTGTGAAATCCCAGGGGCCCAGCCAGGCCCAAGGACCTCACTCTTTAGACTATTTCTTTAAAGAAAACAAGTTTTATTTTTATAATCAGAACAATTCTAATAAAAATATTATTATAATATTAGCTACCTTCATTTTCTGGGCCTTGACTCTACCACGCGTGCCAAGGAGCGCGTGTGCGCTCAGCTCCCTGAGGCCTCCCCTCCCTGAGGTAGGTCTAAAGGACACCCCCAGCTGCCCCCACCTCCTCCTGCCAGGACAGCCTCCTCACCCCTGCTCCTGGCTCTACAGGCCCTGCACACCCCCAGAGGAGACATCACGGCTGTTAGAACTTGTCACCCCCATCCACCAACCTCCAAGGAAGGCAAGGGTGCATCTTGGGCTGGTATTCAGCAGGAGGGAGGGGGCGGGGTGGCCAATCCTGTGCTCTAAAGCCCCCCAGCGGGCAGGGCTGAGGGTCCCCCACCCACAAGCCAGGAGCCATTACGGTCTAGACCCTGAGCAGCCGAACACCTTGGGCCTGCTCCCTCCTGCCCCAGGTGTTGCAACAATGGCTCTGAGATGACAAATTGCCCGCCTAGGTGGGTCATCAAACTGTGGGTGAGAGGCCTGTCTGCCGCTGCCCACCCCACCCAGGGCTCCCGGCTCTCTGTACTTTTCTTGTACAGAGACATATCATCGTCTCCATGGGTAAAACCAACAAAAGAAAGTCGCTCCAAGTCAAAAATAGGTTTTGGATTCTTGGTGGCGGTTGTCTCCTTGAAAAAATAGACTGAAATCATCTTAGTAGCAAAACAATTAGGATAAGACAAAGGTTGCAGTGCTTCGACTGGAGGGGATCTCCGGCTGGAGCTGCTGTGCCTGGGGACCAGCAGGTTTCTCAAGCCACCGAGTGTGATGAAGTAGAAAACAAGAATTCAACAAGGAGGTGGTTCCCCTCACCCCCGACAGGCTCGCAGACAGGCTGGCAGCTAGTGCTGGTGTGGGTGAGTTACAATAAATAGTCAACCAGCTTCTCTCACAGGTCTCCCTGGAGTAAGGCACCTCCGCTCGGGGCAAAGCTTCCGTACAGTCCAAACAGCAGCTGGGTCTGTAGAGGGTTCGTGACTGACCCGCCTGGAGGCAGCTGTGGGGACAAGCCTGAGGGCACCTGGAGTGACGATGGGGCAGGAAAAGGTGCAGAGAAAAGGCTGCCATGGTGTGCAAGGAATATGGGGTAACATCTTCCGGTCATTCTTTCTTCTTAAAGTCCTCCCTAGAGATGTGACAGGACCTAGATTTGAAGAGAAGCCGTCTCAGCTGTCCCAGGGCACAGGCAGGTGCCCGAGGTGTCTCGGAGGCACAAGTGCTGGTCACACCGAAGCTCAGCCAAGTCGGCTGCTGACCCATCGAGGCTTAGTGGGTCTGTCTGCTGTTGGGGTGATGTTACCACGGTGCCTGGGGCAGGGACGCCCCTCACTGCATCCTGTCTGGCTGCAGCTGTGGTGCCTGGTACTGCACAAAGGTGGTGCCTGCGGGGGCTGCGGCTGAGAGGGCCTGGGGCACAGCAGCTGGGTAGCTGTAGCCCATGAAGCTGGCGGCCGTGGCAGGTGAGGCGGCATAGGGGTACTGGTCATAGGTGGCCGGCGGGTACTGGGCGTAGGCCGGACTGGCTGGTGCATACTCGATGTAGGGTGAAGACAGTGACGGGACAGGGGCAGCTGGGATCACCACGCTCGGCTGGACAATGGCTTGTGGGTAGATGTAGTGCGGAGTCAACCTGCGGGGCCAGGCAGAGTGGTTAGGGGCAGGTGGCAGACAGTGGGGGCGCCACAGCTGGGACTCTCCTGCTCCCCCTATATCTGCTCAGCAAGGCTTTCCCAGGTCGTACCCGCTGTTTCCCCCACGGCCACCCACCTATCTGCCCCCAGAGGACAGCAGCACGAGCTGGGGGCCCAGTGGAAAAATTACAATAAGGGATCTTTGTTTAAAAAACAACAAAAATTTCAAGACAGCGACAGCAGAACACAAAGCCTGTGTGCACAACCCCAGCTCACTTGTCCATGAAGCCAACCTTGTCACCTGACACCCACTCATCTCCCAACACTCACACCCACTAAGGGACACCAATGACACCTGCGTGATTTACTCATTCATCACGGTTGTCTCTACAACCACTATGCTGGTCCCGAGGGGCTGTGTCTCCTTTGTGGCAGCATGGTCTCTGGTCTGTAGCTCTGCTTCTGCTGAGTGGAGGTGTGAGTGACGCTAGCTATGCCCCTGAGTGAAAGGCTCACTCGGCAGCTGGTCGAGTCCACCCCCTCAAGCGGAAACTCCCCTTATTATGCTCACTTTACACATGGAGTCCCAAGGTCCCACAGCTGATGGGGCAGAGCTGAGCTCCCGGCCCCCACCCATAGGCTCACAGAGGCAGTTGCCTGCCCTGCCAACCAGCCGAGCCTCTCTGAGCCTCCCAGCGCAACTGTACCCACCTAGCGGCATCAGAGGATGCTGCACAGTGCTGGGCACAGAGTGACCATGTTGGGCAGGATGCCGTTCCCCTTGCATCAGGCTTGTGTTGAGTTACACAGGACAGGCCGGCTATGGGGTGACTTGGAACCTCACCTTCCGTCCACCCCCATGAGACACTCTGGGATACTAGCCCTGTCCCTACAAGGGAAGTGGCTCTAGAGACAGGTACAGCAACCTCCCCATGCTCTCCACACATGGCAGGGATGGCACTGGGCAGCTTTTCGTAGTGTCTTGGTAACACACAGTGCCACTGAAACACACTCTCTCTCCCTGCAGCTAGCCACCCTCAGGACCAAAGAGGACACCTCTCTCCCCAGAATCACCCACAGGGGACTTGGAGCAGGATCCAACATCCCTTCAGGGAGTGAGGAGGGCCCTGCTCAGCCCACACACCCCCGCCCCCCACCCTGCTGGGAGGGAGAAGCTGAGTGCAAACCTGTGGCAACTCTGCTGACACATGACACTGTTGATGCTGGAAATCAAATAAATCATGCCTTTGTACCCAGGCTAACGACAGGTCAGACAGGATGGCACTGCCATTTTTACTGGCCCAGGAGGTGACCATGGCTGTCTAAGGTGTAATGGGATGAACACCGAGGACAGGGCAGGTGGTGGGAGGGTCCACGCACGTCTAAACAGGGAGAATGGGCTCACGCCAAAGACAGCAACAACTGACGCGTGGACCACAAAATGTGGTCTATCCACACAAGGGAATGCTATTTAGCCACAAGGAATAAAACACCAACATGTGCTACAAGGTGATGAACCTTGAAAATACGCCACTGAGTGAAAGAAGCCGCTCAAAAAGGGCACGTGTGCTCTGAGTCCCTTTATATGAACCGTCCAGAAAAGGCAAACCCATCAGAGGCTGCCAGGGGCTGAAGAAAGGGGAATAACTGCTAACAGGTTTCCTTTGGGGGCAATGAAAAAGCTCTGAAGTTAGATGATTGTGATAATAGTTGCGTAACTTTGGGAAGATACTCAATGCCACCAAATTGTATGTTAAAATGGTGAGTTTTATGTTTATTTTATCACTATTAAAAAACATGAATGGGTGGCACATGTGGCTCAGTGGGTAGGGCGCCGGCCCCATATACTGTGGGTGGCAGGTTCAAACTCAGCCCCGGCCAAACTGCAACAAAAAATAGCCAGGTGTTGTGGTGGGCGCCTGTAGTCCCAGCTACTGAGGAGGCTGAGGCAAAAGAACTGTCTAAGCCCAAGAGCTGGAGGTTGCTGTGAGCTGTGATGCCACAACACTCTACCTAGGGTAACAATTTTTTTCTAAAAAACAAAAACAAAAACAAAAAAACACGTATGAGGAAAAAATCCTGATGCATTAGGGTGACCTATCAGGGTGAGGGTACAGTGCGTGGCAGATGGGGTGTGGGTGGAGCTGGGCAGATAACGTGTCTGGCAGCAAATACTCAGGGAGTCCAGCTGGGCCTGGGTTCCCTGGGCAAGAAGCTCTTGCCCCTTCCATTGCTGTTCCCTGCACAGGCAGGGGACACTAGAGCCCACAGGGCCCTCCTGTAGCTTGTGACCAGAACTACCAGTGATGCCTCCCCCAGGAGCCATCCCTTTCCTCCAACCAACCCTGCCTCTGCCACAAGAACAAGACCTTGAACAGAGCCAGGCCTGTGCCACAGTCCAGCCTTTGGGGCTGTGTAACACCTTCCCACACACCTGCTGGGATGCAGCAGGGAGCAGACCACAGGACTCTGCCCTGGAGGGTGGGGAGACACACAAAAACACACGGCCTGTAAACCAGAGTGAGGGGACTCCTGAGAAAACAAGACAGCAGAAGGCCGAGACCTGGGGGACAGGGATGGGAGTGGGGCTCAGAGGCGACTTCTTATGAGAGGAGGGGTGGCTGCAGGAAACCTAAGGGCTCGAGGGAGCTGGCGCAGGAACAGCTTACAGGTTACAGGCACATGGATGAGCAAGGGAAGGCTGAGGCACAAGCAAGAGCATCTGAGGAGCTGGACCAAGGGCCCAGGAAGCCCTGGTGCACGGTCCTGTGACGGCAGGCCCCCCCCCCGCCCCCCGCACTCTAGACAGAGCCTACACTGCACATCCCGAAGCACTTGGACACCTCGCTGCCTCCCTGCTGGGGCCATGGGCCTGCCAGTGCCTCATCCTGAAGCTTGTGCCTGGTGAGGCCCCCAGCTCCACACTGAGGTCACAGCCACCTCCTAGAGCCACCTGACCCCCAGTGGAAGGACCTCAGAGGGAGAGCTCTGCCTGGACCCCGTGTCAGGGCCTGAGCAGGTACCAGGCATGCAGTACTGACAGAATAGAGGGGTACAGACCCCACAGACAAGGACCAGCTGCCCAATTGGGCTGAGGCCTCGCCAGGTAAGGGCTGAAGGAGCAGCAAAATCAAGGGGGAGGAGTCAGAAGCCCCCAGGGCAGGGACAGGCACTGGCGCTTTCTCCCTCTCTCCTGAGCCTGTGCGAGATTTCTCCAAGTTGCACCTTCATCACCTGTGTGTGGCATGGGGCTCACAGGGGCTGAGCCCAAGAGCTCCCCAGGACAGCAGTGACCCCTGGGGACATTTCTGGTGGTCATAATCGAGGAGTGGGGTGAAGTGCGGGGTGCTGCTGGCCTTAGTGGGAGCTGACATTACCCTGCGATGCCCAGGACGCCTGCGATAGGAGTGGGCCAGGCTGGGCAGTGTAAGCTGAACAACAAAGGCAGCAGCCAAACATTCCCACGGTGATGACCACAGTGCCCAAGCCAGGGGGCTGGCGAGGGGGCCAGGGAGAAAGTGAGGAGAGGAGGGGTACACACCTGCATGCGGCGTCACACCCACTCACACACACCTGGAACCCCACCTCGGGTGAAAAAGGAATCCCTGTCACTGCTGGCCACATGACCAAGAGCAGCACACACCCCTCAGGCCCGAGTCTCAACCATCCAGCAATGGAGAATGTGGGAGAAGGGGCATACATGCCCAGTGGGCTCCTCAGCAGCCCTCCTGCTCCCCAGTACAAGCTCAGATGGGGTCAAGGTACCACAGCACTGGAGTGCTGGAGCTGCAGGCCCTGCTGGCTGTGTGCCTGCTCGGCACCAACTCCCCTGCCCTCCTGCTGCCTCAGAGAAGAGCTCCAGGCGCTGCCTGCCCACTTTCTCCCTGCAGCCCCACTGGGGCTTCCTCAGAGTTCTCAATCCTCCGTCTCCCCTGCACCACCTCTGCAGGGCCAGCCTCTGTTCATTAACACCAAGGCAGGGCTGCCCCTCCCAGAATCCAGGAAAGTCCTTTTGAAACAAGAAGACCGTGTCCTTCCCAGGACCACAGCCTCCTGCTGCACTCAGCAACAGGACTCTGGTCCTGCCTCCCCGCTAGGGCTTCCTGAGAGATCAGGCCCCGGCCAACCTCTGTACACTCACAGGGCCTTGGCATCTGCCATTTCTCCCACATACCCCATTTTCCCACAGCTCTACGCCCACTCTGCAGGGCCCACCCCGACCTGTGGCTTTATTCTCTTCCTATGATCTGAAACTCCCTTGTCATTCCCCTTCCACACAGGGGCAGGACCTTGACCACCGTGTCCCTGTGTCCCTAGCGCCCAGCAAGGCACTGTCAAGTGTTGGATGCCTGAGCCAGGTCCTAACCCTGCAGGTATATGAGAGGCAAGAGAGGCTGAGGAGCAGAAGCCAGAACAGCTGGTGGGGTGGAGGCTGGGCAGACCCTGGGAGGGGGAGAGACCCTGGAGAGGCAGAGCCCACCACCCGTGATCCACCAGCCAGGTGCCTGGCAGTCCTGAGAAGTCCTCCTCACTCCCCCTGTGGGAGGGGATAAGCCCCCTGGGGCTCCTATGGGGATCTAACAATCTGCCGCAGGTAGCATCAATAACTCCTCCCCAGGTCTGCTGAAGGCCGGGTAGACAGAGATCCTCCCCTCCCAGGACACTCAGCCCTGGACCAAGACAACAGCAGCTGAGGAGCCCTGATGAGAGAACAGTTCAGGCCAGGGTCTGTCAGACACAAAGGAGTTGGAATTGCAGGGCAGGTGACCCAGGTCACCAGGGCTGCTCCTGTCTGGCTGGGACTTCTATAGGACTGGCTTCCCTAGCCTCCTTTCAAGGCTTCTCTGAAACTGCTCTCTGCATGTCCACAGGGGAGTCCCATTTGTCCCCCAGTCCCCTTCCAGGTCCTCTAGTTCCAGCCCCAGAACTACCTGGTTCCTCACCCTCTTCAGAAATACACTTTTCCTTCCACCACTCCCCCAGTGAAGGATTATCCACC